GAAGAAGGCCTTCGTTGTTGCAGACCATCTGTTCAGCTCAACCCTCCTCCCTGCCTGCCTCGCTCCACCCTGCAGCCATGCAGATCAATCCAGTGTACGTGGAGTCAAGTGTGGTTCTGGCTGTGGTGATGTGTGTTCACATGGCGGTCTGGAACCAGCACTCCTGGTCCTGCATAGCCCTCTTCATCCAGGCGTTCTACGTCCAGCACAAGTGGGACCGCCTGCTCAGGTCGGGCGGCGCCGTTTTCCAGTTCCGTCCCTCAGCGAGCAGCGGCATCGTCCCCGCCTCCATGGTGATGCCTTTACTGGGCCTGGTACTGAAAGAAAAGTGCTCTGCCTCAGGGAATGTCTACTTTGAGCGCTTCTCCATGGTGGTCACCATCACAGGCATGATGCTGGCTCTGTTTCTATCCCTGATTGTGCTTGGCATCACAAGACCCGTACCCACAAACACTTGCATCATTGCAGGCATGGCTGGCAGCGCGATTCTCTACACAACCAAACAGACGCTGACAGTGTCCGAGGTCATCGAGGTCCTGGAGGTGCTGTTGATCTTCGTGTATCTCAGCCTCATTGTACTTTACCTGCTGCCACGCTGCTTCACGCCTGGAGAGGCGCTCCTCATCGTAGGTGGAATCAGTTTCATTGTCAACCAGCTCATTAAACGCTCCCTGAACCTGGCCGAGGTCAAAGGTGACCCTGTTACTATTTCCTGCCGGTCATAGTGGTAGGCTCCCTGCTGCTGGGCGTTTTCTTCGCCCTGCTCTTCTGCTTCATGGAATCCGAGACCTGGGTGTCATCGCTGTTCTTCCACATGATGACGGCCGTTTTGGGCCTGGGGATCCTCATGCCATGGCTCTCCTTGTTCATCGGGCGGCACCCCATTATGTGGCTGCTGGACTTTGCCACGTTAAATGACAGAAGACTCTGTCTGCTGGGGTACTGGGTGTTTCTAGCTGTCGTAGCAACTTGTGTGGTGTTACACCAGAACCACCAGCGACAGTCAGGGTCCAAAAAGCATCAGGCCTCCACGGTTGTCAGGAAGTACTTCCACCTGATTGTAGTGGCTACGTATGTTCCAGGGCTGATATACGACAGGCAGCTTCTCCATGTGGCGTCTGTGGGCTGCTTGGCAGCTTTCCTGTTCCTGGAGTACGTGCGTTACTTTCGGATCAGACCACTCGGCCAGCTCCTGAGGCAGGTGCTCACTCTATTCCTTGATGAACGAGACTCTGGGCCTCTGATTCTGACCCACGTCTACCTGCTGCTGGGTATGTCTCTACCTATATGGTTGTTCCCTGGACCCTGCGCCCCAAAGGGGGTACTTCCTGGTGCAGGCGGTCTGGTGCCTTATGCAGGAGTGCTGGCCGTCGGGGTGGGTGACACTGTGGCATCCATATTTGGCAGCACCATGGGGGAGATCCGTTGGCCTGGCACAAAGAAAACCATGGAGGGGACTGCGACATCAGTGTTTGCCCAGATCATAGCGGTGGCTATGTTCCTCATCTTTGATGGGAGCATCAATCTGAACTCTAGCTACTCGTGGATTGTTGGTTCTGTCACTCTGGTGGCAATGCTGGAGGCCTATACCTCCCAAATAGACAACCTCCTTCTCCCACTCTACCTCTTCATCCTGCTGTTGCTTTGAGCAGAAAGATGGCGCGCACAAAAAAACAAAAAAAAACAGATCCACTCTGCTGTCCTCTGCTCTTTTAATGGGGGGGGGGATAAAAGGAACGATGACTTCAGAAAAAAAAGCAACATATACGAACACATATGATAGTTGATGTAATAAACGTCTCTTAAGGAAACATTGGTATATTTTCTGTTAGCACAAGAAAGGAGCATTCAAAGTCTGACAGCTTACTTAATCAGGATAATAACCCTAACCCACGTCAAACAAATGTGGCATGACGTTTGTGTCTGTTACCTTTAGATTACTAATAATTGCAGCTGCTTAAGGAATGAAACTATCTATTAAGAGTAAGTTACAAAGATATGCGAGTTAAAGTTCCTGTCTGTATAGACAGTGGTGTACAGTTTCTTTTGCGTGTCACTGTCCTGAGGGAGGTACTCAATCGCTGACACCAAGTCCTCTTAAATTATGCAACAGGAGATAGTTTAACAAAGTAGAAAAAAATGACCTTTAAGCACTCACAGACCCTGCTATCACATCTAATCAATGAGAAAGTATTCCTATCTTGTCCCATATGGATACATGCCTTTGTATTGCCTTTGAAGAACATGATTTCAAGTTATCTTCCTGATACATCCTCTTCTTTTGTTATTCGGTTGATCTGCCTCCCTGACGGCAATATGAAGAACTTTACTGCTGAAAATATTTGCCTTAAGGTGTTAAGAAGTATTTTCTACACACATGATCTACTGTTGTAAATGCTGTAGATGAAAGCATGGCAACCCATCTCAACTCTTCTTAAAAGGGCTGATTTATATTTCAATGTGCAGAACGTCACTCTGTCCATGCATGACACCAGTATGAAAAACTGGAACTTAAATACAGGTATTCTACAGTATATTATTTTTGGTTGACACACTTTTGTTAATACTTTTGATGTTTGTTGGGACCCCTTAAAATAATGGTAATATATGAAGTACATTTCCTTGTTATACTGAGCCTTCAAACTGCAGTTTGTTAGTCTGTAAATAAGCGGTGAGTCTGAATATTAAACAAAGGCCCTTTATTATTTTATCCATCCACATTTCATCAGGTATCATCTCATCATTCTTTGTTGTGGATGGAACAGTTTCCTGCCTTAAACCTTTTTTTTCCAGCAGGACTTTCCAAACATGTGATGTCTGTTCATCTTTAAAACTTTTTTGGTGTAACATTTTATTAGCATGATCCTACTAGTAGTTTATTTTTGCCATCATCATAACATTTTGAAAATGTAATACTGCATGTCAAGTGCATTGGAGATGAGACGCTAATTTAATATATAAATGAGTTGAAGACCTTTGTGACTGATGGATTACACTTTTATTTTCATTTCGAGCTATAATGTTGTGATTCATGATTGTTGAAAGGCACATTTTTGTTTTTTTTATTTAAGTTGCATCTTAAAATGAACATACTTGAAAATGTAATATTTTATGTTGTATGTGTTGCTTTGACACAAATGGAAAAAAAGAACAAGAATTATGCTGATTGTAAATAAAGAGTTGCTGAATAAAGGTGGAATATTGACAAAAATTTGAAAAACAAATCATGTTTTTATTATTTAATTATTATTATCCAGTCTTTTAAAAAAATTTATCTAAAAAATATTGATACATTTATATAGTTTCAACTTTGTACCTTTCCTCATGTAGTTTAGAGAAAAAGATGGTGTCTTACATCTTACAATACAAGGTAAGAGAAATGGCAGCATTTATTTAAAAAAAACTACCGGTAACAGTTTCTTTGTAGTTGGTCCTTCAGGAAAGATTAAAGCTTGTGTCCTCCATTGAACTGCTCCACCAAATACTAAAAACATCCTTCATTTACTGTAGAGCGGCGGGAAAGGAAGCTCTTCAGTGGGTTGCAACCTTTGAAGAACAAAGAGATAGAAACATACAAAATAGGTTAAAACTTCAGTCTTGAGTGAGGTTAAATAACATCAAAAATATGTCATAAAATGTAATTTACAAGCAATAAAAGATGCTTGATCATTCAAACAAAAGGCTGCAAGCTGTACTTTGCCTCGCAGGACTCGTAGCTAATGCAAGCCTATGTTACTTGAAATGTTAGCTAACTCAAGTCATGTTTTGCTCTTTAAAAGACATTATTTAGTAAGCTTGTTAATTCCTCTAATTTGACTACTTCATTCTACTGTCAGAGCATGTTTAGCATCATCCCACGATAGTCAGTAATGACCAAAAATTACATCATAAGCTAGCCTACTGTGGTTGTTAAAATCCCTTAGTTTTGGTAACTTTTCTAAATATAGAACAATTTGACTAGACATGACAGTTACAGCACAAAAATACAATTTTAAGTCGGTGGAAATTTAAAGACACTTTAATTAACGTGAAAACTAGCATAAGCTTACATTAGCCACCATAAGCTAATGGTCATACCAGACCAAGTACAGATAGAAGAAATCCATTGAGTGTGTTAAATTAGTGAACAGTGTGTTCAACTGTTCTGTAACTTAACATCCTTGATCAAGATTTCAAAAAAATGGTTTCACCATCATGTCTCACAAATCACCAAATGCATAAAAAAAAAAAAAAAACCCTCTCACCAGTTGTCCGGGCTCCAGCGAGTGTCCTGGGACTCCATGATGTGGAAGGTGTAGACATGGCGGGAATCCTCAGAGGTGTTTTGGGCGCTGCAATGCACCACTTCCCCGTGGATCAGGACTACACCACCTGAACACAGTTGTGAAACTCGCTATGTGTTCATGCACAGAATTTAGACATAATAAGTCAACTAAAAGTTCAAAATGTCTTTCAAGATTTTTAAGAAAAGAAAGCATTTGAAACGTACTTCTTCAGTTCAAAACACCTGAAAGTATTCAATTAATATTAATTGGAAAACTAGAAATACCTTATGTTTAAAATGATCTTCTGATTCATCTGAGGAATAGCCTTTTTTTTTAATATAAATATATATTTTGTCTTTAATTGAAATAAAAACTCCATTATGATGTGTGTACAGTAAACATGAAGCCACAGCTAGAAGTCATTCAGCTTAGCTTAGCATAAACACTGGAAACAGGGGTAAACTTGGTCTGTTCAAATAACCTATTCCACTAACCAGTACCTCTAACTTAGAAAACATATTTGTACATACCATAACTTAAGGGTAAACTTCATAATACATATTTTTTTCATGTATTTTTTTTAATGTCTTCATCTCTTGGTGTCCCATTTTGTTGACTAAACAATGAGGGAGCGTACCACTAATATCTGTACCTTTAAATGACACGACACCACAATGTTTTTCTCCCACTGCAGCATAATGTATATCCACAATACAGCCTAATGCATACATGTGCTTAAACCTGCCGACAGCCAACACGGTGAATTACCTTTTTTCACTGGTGCACTGATAAACTTTGTCTCATCGTAGGCCTGCTCTCGACCGGTGAAGTCTGTCAGGGGAAAGGTGCCTTTTGGGGTGCGCACCATACGTCGAGAAATACCACCTAGAGAAAAGTGTGCAGTATAGTCAGAAATGTAAGAAGATTTGACATCAACTCAGACTGAGAAATAGCATAGTGTTTGTTACAGAGTGTAATCAGTAATTTAAAAACAATCCTTCAATCTGAGTCAAATAGCTTTCTTACTGTTGTGTGATCCGGGGATAAAACACAGGCAGCCGTTGTTAACAGTGGCATCTTCCAGCGCGATCCACAGCCCCATGACTCTGCCCAGAGGCTCCGTGTATAGAAACGTGGCGTCTTGATGTGGTGTCACTAAAAAAAAAAAAAACACATAAAATCTTCTGTGAGGACAGATGAGGAAATGGAAAGCATATTTATTTTCCAAGTGCTTTATTCAGATTTCTGTATATTTCATCAGTTTCTATCAGTTTTTCTTACCTTCCCCTCCAATCCCTGGTTGCTGGAAGAAATAAAAAATAAAAATCTTGACTGACTAACCTATGATTCATCATTATCTTTCAGTACAACACAGTTTATTGATTGAACATAAAAGCTTTACCTTAAAAATAAACATGCTTTGCAGTATCACAGGACTTACAACACCCAGCTTCTTGGCTATACCCTAAAAGAAACCACAAGTAAAGAAAGTTATTCTTTCACTCACTTCATCGTTTCATGACATTACTCAACAGATCACTCACCTGAACTTTGGGTGAATGTGTAACCTTTTTGTACAACGGTTCATATGCATGAAGTGCTAAAAAAATATATGAAATATTATTATTTGAATTCTTGCCTTTTGAAAAGCTTTCTGCGTGACGTGAGGAGCACATTATCAAATATCTTACCGTGTCCGACTTTGTTTAGTGACCGCTCTTTTGGTACGATGAATTCCCCTGAAAGGCAAGAAATATTTTTTTAGACAAAGACTTATAAAAAAAAAAAAAAAACTTTAATTAAAAAGACAGTTTACAAAGTGATGTAACAAACAACGCCGGGTACTCAGGTGGCAACACAATAACTATTTATCTATTTATGTTTCATATTTATATTTACTTTTATTTTCATTAATATTATAGTTTTGGGTTTTTTGATCCTTTAACCACTTGTTTTTATTTCTTTTACTGCTCTTACCTTCTTATTGCTGTTATCTTTTTATTTGCTTTTATCTCTTTTAGTTTCTTACATCTTTTTAAATCTTTGGTCCTCTTGGTCTCAGCTCGTGTTGTTGGGTTCTTGTGTTGCCTGGGTTCTTATCATGGTTCTTGTGATGGTCGGGTTATATATGTCTGGTTGTGTATCGTGCACTTTGGGTTCTTTTCTGTTGAATTGTATTTAATTATTTTTAGTATTTTGCATTTGTTATGTTCTTGCTGTTGTTTATGTTCTTCTGTGTTTGGTTTGGTTTGTTCTTGTTTTTGCTGTTTGTCAAAGCACTTTGTAAACCTGTGTTTTTAAAAGGTGCTATATAAATAAAGTTATTACTATTATTATTATTGTTATAACAGACACACAAAACAACAGATGCCAGACAAAGCAAGAAAATATGAAGGTTTAGTCAACATTAAATCAACGCAATGGGACAAAAGATGTCAGACAGTGATGTCACAGAGCAAAGACAGAGGGATTAAGAAAGATGAAGCTGAAAGCAACACATCTAAAATAAATGAAAAAACACAATTAGATACAGGTTAAAAGAGTCAAACAATAGGAATCACCTTTGTCATCAAAAACTCCCTTCTCGAAGAAAAAGCAGACCTTATCTCCGCTTGTGATGAAATAGTCAGCATTTCCCTGCAGGTCAAAGTGTTGTAATCAGTCACATGATCGAGCAGAGAGAAACACAAACATCTGGCGCTGAGCAGACTGTTGACATTAGTTTTCCATTAGCTTGAAACGAGAACATTTTAGGGTTGAGGTAAAACAGACTGGATAAAGGGGAAACACACAGTGACTCTCTGCGTTATAAAGATGAACCTTACCTGCATCTTTAATCACAATATGAAGGGAAGCATGAGAAAGAAGTGTATCATGATCAGCCCGTGAGTCACAGACATGAGTTAAGCGCTTCATCACGGTGGTATTCAATGTGTCACCTGTGTTTTTAACTGCTCGTCGTGATAGGTCGAGAAGGTGATGCGGCAGTGCTCTGGGACGTCCATCCGGTCCACTATCTCTGCCATCCTCTGCCTCAGCTCGTCACACTCCTGTGAGGTCAGCAGGTCGTCCAGAACCACATATCCATCCTCCAAGTACTGTCAGGAGGGAGGAGGAAGCTGATGGGTCAGTTTTCATCCTCAAAGTCAAATCCAGGGGCAAATGTGCAGCTTTTTACACACCAAAGTGGAACTCTTCCGTCCATAAATGGAGTTTTAAGTGTGGGAAAAATCTAATCTTTTAACCTTGTTAAGTAGAACAGGCTACCTTCTTATAATTTAAACAAATTTAAACAAGTCCTGTAATTGAGAGATCTTTGTTTTGTCAAATATTAAGAGCAATAACACTCATTTTATTATTGTTCTGCAGTCTGAGCAGACAAGCTATTTAATAATTGTATTTTAAGTAAAATGATTTGCTAAACATTTTCTCAGTAAGGTCTGAAAATGTCAGAAAACCTTAAGTGAAGCTAACAAATGTCACTTTATCTTACGCAACCTTCATAGACCCAGAGATCATCATTTCACTAGAATTTCACAAGAAATGCAGCAAATCCTCACAAGCTAGAAAAAAAGGATGTTGACATAGATGATATGGGCGTCTCTATATTTACTGTTGATCTGAATTGTTCAAGAAATTATTGTTATTTATTTCATATACAAAAGCAATCTTTAAGTAAAAATGTTAAACATAACAGAGACTTATGAACTTTCTAAAGTATTTTACTCTCAACACTGACAGGAGGAACACAGAGATAAAGAAAGGATCTCTTCAATTTGTAAATAAATTACAAATGTACTCACAGTGGAGGCAGTTCTGATTTGATCTGACTGCCTTCATTGGACCGCTTGTAAGCTGCTGCAGTATGTTATGTAATGACCCTCAAATACTACAAACTACACAAGGATTAACAATTAAGTGTTGCAGAACAATTGATCTATCGGTACACGTAAAAGATCTCTGAACACATTATGAAGTTACACCTTTATTTGAATTTGATCTCAAAGTAACCTTTAAGAGACTCTAGATGCAAGCGCGCATCAAATATCTCTTAAATGTACAAATTAACATTGAAGAGATAGTGGATGCATGCTGCACAGCGGAATAAATGCTTTATTTAAATATAAAGTAGGCTTATGTTCACCTTCTGCACATCCCGATCCGTCATGAAATCCATAGTTGTTTTCTCACTTCGGTCCAGCTCAAGGGTCACATAAACGTTGTGTAGCATCCGGGTACCTTACAGCCAGCAGGCACGGATTTCCGACCATGTGACCCGTCTAAATCATTTCTAGTGTAAACAGAGGGAAGCTGTAAGAGGATTTGGGACTTTAACTCTTTCGTTGCAACCAGAGCCTTATAATAAGCAGGACACTGGTTGCAACATAGGAGCCTCAGAGGCGTGTAGTAGTAGCCAAGCCTGGCCTCTAGATGTCGCCCAAAGCTTTGGAAAACGTATACCTTGAACTACTGTAAACAGAGGTGAGAGGAGGAACGGCGCCATCATGTGACCATACTTTTGAATACAAATTTGAGGTACTTTGCATCATAATTTCAATATTTTGATAGTTTTGACTTCTTCTCCACTTTTGAATACCACTGAATTTAGCAAGCATTTAGTACTGAAACACTGGCACCATTAGGCCTTACACACAGTATAACAAAACATGTAGGTAGTTACATTTCTTTTCTCAGCACCGAGCTCAGCAGTGATCAGGACTTTCCTCTGAAAGCAGAACTGTCCATTAGAGGAGGAATTGCAACAGTGAAGTGTTAAGTGTTTATTTCATTATCATGTGTCAGAATGGTACAAAAGTAGCGTCTGGACATTAGGAAATCAAAGTTCAGTTGTCCGTTGTTACAGACGACCTGCTTTAAAAAGCCAGTGTTCAGTCCACTTGGCAACGATTCATCAATAAAGGCCTTGTGTCACGTGTGATACTGACAGAGCGGATTGGAACATGTCTGTCCATCCAGCTAACAGTTTAGATTCAACAGTGATTGCTGTTGGGAGGTGAAGTGGGTAGCTTTCTGTATGGCTATAATACACACACGTTCAGCATCAAAATGCTCATTCTTAGAGATGAAATGGATGTGAAACAGTTTTCATATATCCTGATCTACAGGCAGCAGAATGCAGAATACACAAACGTGTTTTTTGAAGAAATCACACATGAGTAGGGATAAGATGTCATTGCAATCATGGCAGTTTAGAAAATGTTTGTGTTCAAGTGAAATTCACATGACTGTTTCAAAAGAAAAAAGAAAAAAAACACAGGATAAGGGTTACTGTTACATACAATGCCCAAACAGGAGAGTTAGCTCACTTTCATTTACATGATTTCAGGTTGTTGAGAGTCGTTTCTGACATTCTGTTTTGTGGAGGGACAAAAGCTGTGTTTAAAGACATCAGACAAATCACTGGGAATTCAAATAAATCATGCTTTCTCACACTAACCTCACTACTTAAGGCATAAATAACATAAAAAACAGATTTTAAAAAATGTGCACTTAAAAAAACACACAATCAAATAAACAGATTTGGTGCGTCGTAATAGACTGGAATATAAAGCTTTATAGTGTATTCATTGAGATTATTTTAGGTGTTTGGATGTAAATGGGGTGCTTCTGACACCAGTCATTTTCACATAGTCATGGGGGATTTTATTCGTAACCAAAAACTTCCTGCCGTCATGCTCCACTAACAACTGGCTGACCTCATCTCAGACCTTCACCCCAGTGACTCACCAACCCTTTCTCCTGACATGCGGGAAAAGGGAGTGGGGCCACAGGTTTGACTGTGCTCATCGTGTGACTCAGGGGGGAAGTGACTGTGGAGGACTGGACTGCCGATGTCACCGCTCCGGAGGTCAGAAAAATAAATGACTGAGGTGAAAATTATTTGTAGAATGAAAAATGTAAAGTTAGCAGGAAAACTTTAGACAGAAAGCTTTGTCTGACTTCAGGTGTGTTGTCAGACTGATGATGCTGCAGATAAAACGGAGAAAGGCCGAAAAGTGAATATTCTTTAAAAATGTTTAAAGCAGTTTTAACAACTCTAAGAATACATTTGGGGTTAGAAATACTTAGTACATTTAGCAGTGACTTTCCAACCACCACGCTAAAAACAAAACAAACTTGATACAATAACTGACGGGCAGTTTTTCAAACATCCCAATGTGACACTCTGATGGTGCTGCACTGCAGGAGGCAGATATTTGGTGTCAGCAGTGCTAGCAGCTGCACTGCACCACTACAGAGAGCAATGCTACAGAGCAAAGTTAGATTGAAGTGACATTAAAGTTTTCTCACAAACTGTCCCTTTATACAGGGGACGCTACAGGGCAAGATATACGGGATCATTTTTGCAGTTTAACGCTCCTGTAAGGAGATTTTAGCTGGTGAGTGAAATGAATACTGATCAATTAACATGGCCTACAAAAGCAAACAATACAACCAGCAAGAACACTGATTATTTCTAAACCATACTGCTGTCGTGGTGGTAGGTTTCAGACATGCCGTTTTACAACACGCTGTTGAAATAAGAAAGCTAGATGAGGTTTTTTTTTTTTTTACAGAAAACCCAACCTACATATGAACAGGACAAAGGCAGTAAAGAAAGAAGACGTACTGCTTTGTCCACAGGGGGCGCCAAAATCAACACACACCAGCATTTCCTCACAGGAGCTTTAACTTGCTCGTATTTCAGATATTTGCCTATTTGGCATTCATTGTTTGGCATTTATCAGGTCACCTTGTGTAGAATTAAGCAACAAAAAAAAAAACATGCTTGTGCTTTAGATCCGGCCCTAAAAAAAAGTTAACCAGAGCACAAGTACAACAAGGCAGATAAGCAACTTAAAACAATCTTCAGGTTTGAAATGGTTTCACGTGCTGGAAAAGCTTAGAGTTCCTTTGAATTACGACCGTTCTCTTTTGTCTTTTGCTCCTTTTTTGTTTCATTCATTTTTGTCTGTGACCTTGTCTTTTAACTTGAAACTGGTTGCTTGTCAACACATTCAGGCTCTTCGTTCAGAGCAGGACTGCGTAGGGAGCACTTCACTAATGACCCCAAGAAGGGCATTTGGATTCAGCCAAGGCCTCAGTGAAAAAAAAAAAAACCTCACTGTGAACAAAGGTGCAATTGTCTCATCACAGTAAAAAAAACTTCCCTTAAATCTCTTGAAAAAAGCTGAACTCAAAGTAAAACAGCTGGTAACAATAAGAGCACACACCATACCCCTGAAATGTACAAAACAAGCTATACATTTAACAACAACACATGAAAAACAAGACATGAATGTGATGTTTGTGATCATTAACAGGGCGTAGAGCTCGTAAAAGATTAAGGCCATATTAGCAACGAGATGCCGGGGTGGAGTGAACATAGCAGGGTTACTCCAAATGATGCTAGTAAATCCAAGGCCGTAACAAGAAAAGTGTTTCAAGCTCACAAATGTTTCCCTTGTTAGTCGTCAGTTTCCTACACTCCTGTTTGTCCTCATTTTGGATAATTGGACATTTTGGAGTAAACTGAGCATGATAAATAGAGGGACCAAGCATACAAACAGCATGTTAAGTCACAAACATCCTCACATTTTCCTTTGCAGATTGGCAGTACCTGGCAGCGAGTTAAACCTCTCCTGTCTCATATCTGCAGGATAATCATTATCTCAAGTCTCATAATTCAAGATCATAATGGGCATACAAGTACTACGATTCCTTGTTTATTGGTCTGCATCAACTACAGGGTGCGTGATAAGAATTGTGCAAGCTTGCATGTTTATTTTATCTCATAAAAACAAAGAAATAAAATGAGAGTTTTCTGAATGTTTTCGAACCTGTAGTTTTTTCGGTACAGGGACAACCAGCCATGGGACACCTTTTTTTCATTGATATAGTCAGTAAAGCCTTCAAATAAACAAACTCCACTTAAGATTTTGACTTAGTTCCAAAATAAACTCAATGTCTTGTGTTCTATGTGTGGCCTTCAGTCAATAACTTCTACTTGATCTGGTATTATCTCAATGTTATCCATTCACCAAATAGCATGTTAAAAATGCCAAACCTCACTAATGCACAAACTCATCCCGGCCCTTTACTGCAAGTCATCCTTTCTCTCTCCCTTCAATCTCTTTCTTCAGTTTTCCGATCTAATAAAGGCAAAAAAGTGGCCAAAAAACGGGCCCAACATGAAACTAGTGTGTCGTAGCATTAGAAAATACAAAATCATGTTACTTGACGTCTAAATAAATTATTAACCTCCTTTAAAAAAAGGCCTGATCTCTGTCAATCTCATAAACATTGATAAGACACGCAAATAATGTGCGATGCTTTTAGTCATGCAAAAAATAAACAAAAACAAGGTAAAGATTGAAGCAAAGTCCAAGAAGAATGAAGTGTTACTCCCCCACTGTTAAGAAATCTCCTGCCACATAGGCAGACGTTATAAATTAACAACGTGGGTTATTTAGACATTGTACTGTGAAGTTTGTTCTCATTCGTGCTCCGCTGAATATCTGACAGCGTTGCTGTGATGCCGTTGCATCAGTCCCTCCCTCCGAGTTAAGGCCAAAGCTGGGAGATCAGCTGCAGGTTCATCTGTTCATCTTTCTTACAGAGTAGGTTTTCACTAAAAAAGAAGCCTCCAAGCATGTTGAGCAACCACAACGTCTGGAGAAAACAACAGGAGCAAACCTTCATGCCCCAACAAATTGGCTGCTGGTTTCACTTTCTTTTATTTACCTACATCTTCATCTGCACCCAGTACTCTGACAGCTGCAAAAGTAAAAATGTCAGGAGTAAGACTGAAGTCTCAAGGCCAGAGAAAGGTTAGGCAAATACTGTTTTGGACTGGTTTAATTTGTGCATGATCAGCAAATGAGAAATAGTGAGTACATTGGGCTCACTGTGGCGGGGCTGATCCATGCAAAGTTTATATATTTGTTTGTTTGTATCTCTCAAATGAAAACAGGTTTGCTTGAGCGTGGTCCTGCAGTGACATGCAAATTCTACATCAGCTGCTGGCATCCTTGCAGCATTAAATATAGGAGGATTTAACAGGAAAGCCACATTGCTGAACCACCTGTCTTTGTTGAGCTTTATGAGAAACTAGTGACATCCTTTGAGGTCTTAAAGGTTGACATCGGTGCTTCTATAGTTCCTGCAAAGGAAGCACCAACAAGCCATCGCCTTTCTGACCCTGCATGTCCGACTCTGCTGCAAATACTGAGAGATCTGCCATTCTTTAAAAAACTAAATGATTGCTTGTTTGTTCCTTCAGTCAAAACTTCTCGTATTTTTTACGAGAAAAGGAGGTTTAGGCTCAAGCTTGCTCCTTGTCAGCCCTCCAGAGCTGCTCTTTGACTTCTGTCGGCAGTGTGTTGAAAAGGTCCTCCTCCACCACCAGGCCGCTCCTCTTCAGCAGCCGACACTCACCGAGCTCCACTGGGAGACACTCCAACCGGTTCCCTCTCAGCTCCAACTGTGTCAACCCGGTGAGCTCCCCAAAGCGTGAGGGCAGCGTCTGCAGGCAGTTGTTTCCCAGATTCAGAGTTCGCAGCTTCTTGCACTTGAACAGCTCCGGGGGCAAAGTCTCAATCTGAAGAGGGAGAATAAAGAGCGGTGTAAATTACATGGATTACAAAGGTTGAGGTTCTCCATTTTTAATCCATATGCTTTGCTAAAATGAGGCAGGGATCTGAGATGTAAGCAAAGGGTATTAAGAAAATGAGCAGCTGTTTCCACTGTCGTGACTGGAGAATGGTTCAGCTCTAGTTCATTTTCAAATGTTACCCAATTAAAAAAACATAATGCAGCTCAGACCTTGGCACAGGGAGCAAGTCAAAACGAGGATAAAAGGCACTCAAAAGTTACTGTATAGAGTTAGGAAAATCTCAACAAATTCAGGAGAATAGAAAAAGATGCAGAAAAATAATGGCATCTATCATGTTTGCTCACAAAACGAAAACCTCTTTGAATGATGTTTGCAGAAATGACATCTTGTCTAAACAGATGAGCCCAATTCTCTCAATTATGCAACACATTTCAATTGATAACATGCTGACAGTGTAAAGAGGATTAAGGCAAAAACACCAGAAGGGTCCCATTTAATGCATCTATTTTTGGCTGCAAACAAACCTGCTGGAATCTATTTTCAGTGTGCAACCACACATAACGCAGTAGAAGAGGCAGTAATGGCACCAACAAGTGAAAACACATTATGCTGTTCACTTTTTAATGAAGGACTGAAATTTCTCATTGCAAATAAAATAAACAGCCTTTTGTAAGGAACAAAGTGACTGACTACTTCACCCAAAGCCAAATGGGTTAGCCAAGCTGTAGCCAAAAGAGAGCAAGTGTGGCACAGCCCTCCCTGCATACAAGGTAATCTTGGCATGTTTTGTAAAGCTGGTTTGCAAGTATTTACTTGAAAAGTAATTGTTTACTTCTCTGGAAAGCCTGTAGGAATCTTAATCAGCCTCTTTCGTTTTTCTAAAGGGTTGAGGATGGATTGCAATTTCCAAATAGTTAGGAGGAAGTGTTCACATCTAAATGTTGAAAAATAAACATAATCATACTATAAATGTGACTTGACTTTGAAATCTGTAGGACTAGGCAGTGAAAAACCTGAGGTAATCAATCGGAGAGATTAAAGGGGTGGAGACCAAAAACCAGCAAGCTTTACTTTAAACTTTCACTTCTGCAAATGTAAGGATGCAATGCGTCTTACCCTGTTTGCCCTAATCGCAAAGTACTGCGGATTGGTCTCACATTATCTTCCGCGAGCAGCTTATCTCGTCTGTACATCTCACTCCCTAAATATCCACCAAGGATTTCCCCTTGGAGAAACTAAAGCTATCTGATCACTCTCATGACAATAAACAGCACCAGAGGACTATGAAACTGGACTCTGGTCTTCCTGTCTGTAAAGTTTCCCTGGTACATTGTACAAATGTAAGGATGTAATGATGAGTCTTACCCTGTTGGCCGTGACTGCGAAGTACTGCAGGTTCTGGAGGAAGCCCACGTCAGCGTGAATGCTGGTGAGATTGTTGTGACTCAGGTCTAAGAAGCGCAGCTTGCGGCAGAAGAAAAGCTGACTGGGGATCTTCTCGATCTTGTTTCTGTTCAGATACAGCCTCTCCATGTTTGTGAGCGTCCCGATCTGAATGGGGATGTAGGCGATCTGGTTGTACCACAGCTTCAGACACACGAGGCGGTGCAGGTGCTGGAAGCTGATGATCTCCTCTATTGTCTTCAGATTGTTGTCTTTCAAGTCGATCTCCTGCAGGTTGTGCAAACTGAAGATGGAGTGTGGGATGCGTTCGAGATCGCAGCGAAC